GGGGGGGAAAGGTTGTAACAAAAGCTGCAATGCCAGATTTCGACTGCAGCCCGGGTTTTAGGGACCGGAACTGCAAAATTAGGGTCTGTAAAACTTAAAAACCTATAAAAACGCTTTCACAACTCCAGCCTGGAGATGCTTGCTCCTGGAAGCGTGATTTCTTCCAGACTAATTTGAGCCACAACGCACCTCCCAAACACACGGCTGAGATAAACCTTCGCCGCGCCCCTGGGTCACAGCCTTGCCCCAGGCTGGGCTCCCACACCGGCCCCAGCACAGCGCCCACCATAAATAGCACTGCATTTGTTAAAAAACAAAACAAAACAACACATTTCTGCCCAAAATGCAAGGCTGCCTGGTGCTGCTTCTCCTTGTCCTCTCTCATGGGGATGTATTTAAGGGTCTCTGGCCCCTGGATTTAGAGGTCCAAATGAATTAAGGGCCACACGAGCTGCGAACGGAGCAGCTGGCACGGCAGCCCGGCGGGATCAGCGCAGCATTCTGGATCTCTGCCCTGGCAGGGCACCCATCTCCGCGATTCTGCCCACGTGCGTGCTCCTCCTTACAGCGTTTGCTCCAGCGGCCACATCCATTTGAAGGAGGTAAAGCAGGGATAATGGGCTGTGCAGCATCAGGCGCACGAGGAGCCTTGATATTTGGCTCCTTATGTCCTTTCAGAGAGAGGATTCCTGGCTGGTGCCCCCCGCCTCCCTGTGTCAGCCCCCTCCTGAGCCATTAAAGCATCAGCACGTTCCAGAAAACCTCGAGCTGCAAAGGGAACAACCACAGAGGGAGCAGGGCTCTCCCTGTCCTCCGCACTGCGCACGGTGCTGCCTCTGAAGTGCTCAGACCCGATCGAAATAAAGAGGAATGCTGGATCTGTGAGGATTTCAATTATATTTAGTGTTTTAGTTTAATCTTTGGGGTAGCAGAGCCGGCTTGAAGCTCGGCTTGCGGCTGGTTCCCAGCTAGGATGCTCACCACAGGAGAGGCAGACAGTCGAATCTGAGTCAAAACCTCATTTTTCCTTAAAAGAAAGCCTTGTTAAAACCACCAGTCAGTTAAGGCGGCGAGCTTTATGAGCCGTCACAGCTCAGATCCAATTTCTCCTTCACTAAAGGGAGTTAATCTTTGTGTACGAGAGCTCTGCAAGAGAGAAAAGAAAGTAAATGCCTTCCGTACGGAGCGAGCTCTGTGTCTGTGGCCGAGTGGGTCTTGGGAAAGGCAAAATAAAATAAAATAAGCCTGGCTTCCCTGTACAGCCCCACGGAATTTCTGCTCCAGAAACAGGAGCGGAACAGGGAGAGCCCGACAGGACCCGTGCTCCTCATCCTCCCTTATCAGCTGAGACCACCCTGGCCTCAGCAAACCCCTTGCATTAATTTCCTCCCACCCCCACCAGCAGCAGCCCTCTGGCCGCAGGGGAAGGCAAAGAAAAGGCTCCATTCTGCAAGAGATGCGATCAAACCCACGATCAACAAGGAGGCCAAAGCAGCGGCTGAGCGCCTGCCTTGGTACCCGAAAGGCCACCGCGGGGGGACATCCCAGCCACCAACGCTTTTGAGGCAAGGCAGAGCTGGGGTTTTCGGCAGCCGGCGCATCCCAGAGCGGCTTGGCCGCTGCGCTGGATGGAAAAGGGAGGGGGAAGATGGCAGAGCCTTGAAACCCCGGGAGGGGTTTGCTCCCTCCATCCTGCCCCCGGACGCTGGCTGAGCAGCTCCAGGGCTCGCAGGGATGTTTGTCAACGCAGCTAAGAAACCAGAGCTCATATTCGAGGGGTCGCTCCTTCCATCGCCTGGCTGCTCCCGCGGCTTGAGGTTTTCCAGTCAGCCCTCCCGCCCAGCAGCTCTGGCACAGCCACCGCCAGGGCCGTGCCAGGGAGAGCTCGGAGGAGCATCCGCGGGCGGGCAGTGACCCGCTGCTCTCCCAGCCCCTCTCCATCCCAGCCAGCCTCCGGATGGATGGAACTGCATCCCAGCGCGATGTACAGCCACCTACAAGCTATATAGTGCCAGAAGCTCCTTGCTAGGGAGAAGAAAGCAGGGCTGCTCTGGGACAGGCTCACCCCTCCAGCCCCTCCCGGGAGCAAGCGGCACTCACTTTCCACCGTAGCACCTTCGTTAGGGTTGGAGTAACCTTCTCCCTTCCTCTTGATCCTCCGGATTATCCCTCCATCCTCAAACAAGTCCTCGCCTTTGAAGTCAAGCAGCTCGACCTAAAAAATAAAACAATAAAGAAAAGGTGGGCAGAGCTCGGGGAGGGGGCGAAGGAGAAGAGAAAAACAACAGAAAAGCCACAAAGCAGTGGTTCATCCTCCAGCTCGAGAGCCAAGCGAGCTAATTCTCCATTCAGCTGACGAGCAGAAGTTGCCCATAAAAGCCAGCTCCAAGCCACAGCATAATACACCCGATTTATTAGAAATTGGGACACATCCAGTACCTGAAGCATAACACAAAGTACCAGTAAAAATAAGTTTATTAAACCTCTAAGGGTACAACATGGCCAGTGCTGGAAGATGCTGTTAAAGCTGCCCAGGACCAGCACGGACAGGAGTTTCCCCTTCGTTTTCCGACAGGACCATGGCTTAGTCCCCACTTGACTTGGAAGGATTAAGCCTTAATTTAGGACAGACCCATTCCTCCCGCCTCACCGCCTTGTCCCGACGAGCCCTGCCCAGCGAGCGCACCGTGCCAAAACCCTGGCTTTCCTACCGCCCCACGGCGCTCATCGGTTTTTAGCACCCAGAGGCATTTCCCAGCCGCTTTCTCCTTCCCATGTGCATTTTTAAACTGGGAATCTGCCCACTCCCCACCCCCCGGCACTGGGGCTCTCCCCAGCCAGAGTTTCAGTCCCAGCCTCCCAGCTCAGACACACATTTCTGAGAAAGCCCTGGCAGCGGTTCCTGGAGCAGAGGGACACGTTTCAGGAATCCAAGCTGGTTTTTTTTTTGTTGGGTGGTTTGGTTTGTTGGGTTTTTTTTTTTCATTTCTGAGCTGGTTGGCAAGGCAGAAAGGGAGCGAGCGAGCTCATCCACGCGCCGGCTCGCCAGCACTACTTGCCTCGAAAAAGAGGGTAGCATTGGAGGGGATTTTGGGGACACTGCCAGCAGAGCCGTATGCGTACTCAGGTTTGCAGAGCAAGTAGCAGATCTCTCCCTTCTTCATGGTAGCCACCCCGATGTCCCATGCCTTGATTACCTGACCTAGGAGAGAGGCGGACGTTAGGCAGAAGGGAGCAACACGGCAGCCCAGACGCTGCGAAAAGGGCACCACCCCCCCAAAAAAAAAGCACCCTCAGAAGTCACTTAAGGCAGGGCTGACACTGTCCTCCTGCCCTGCAGCTGGGTCCTGCTCCCCCAGGATCATCCCACGCCCCCCTAGGATCATCCCACCCTCAAGCATCCCCACACACAGACCCCCGGCCCGGCTCACCCTTGCCCAGGCTGAAGACAAAGGGCTCGTTCCGATCGCGGCTGGAGTCGAATTTTTTCCCGTTGGCCAGTTTGCCTTTGTAGTGGACATAAACCTTGTCCCCGATCATGGGGGACTCATCTTCGCTCCCGGGTCGTTTAATGATCTGAGAGAGAGAAACCACCCATGAGAAGGGAGGCCATGGGACAGCTAAGGATGTGTATGGAGAGAGAGAGATAAACACACACAGAGTTTTATATAGATATAAAATTATATACACACACACATGCATATACACCCCAGCGCTGCTCTAAACCGAAGGAAGGCTCAGGGGGAGCCTTTCAATTTGTCCTTCCATCAGCCCCTAAACATAAATCCCACAGCAACGGAGCAGGATGGGGCTGGGAGCAGAGACCTGCCCGCACTCTGCAGAGGTGTCTGGATAAACACCGCGGTTCGAAACCTGAAGCGAATGCAATCACACTCGCTTTCTGCCCGTACACATTTTACTCACAGGGGTGTGTCATTTCACTACTCGCTTCTTGTCAACACTTCTTTTTTTTTTTTTTTTTTCCTCCTCTTTTTGAATGCTACAGCCTGGAACAAGCAGTTCTCGAGCTGAGGATGGAGCAGGGGAGGATGCTATTCTTAGAGGAAAGGTCCTATTCAACTGGAGAAGAGCAAACGCTGGGGAGCAGAACTATCCAGAAACGGCCCTGAATATGAAAAAGGGGTTGTGGAGCAGCCTCGATGACCTCAGTAATGTGCTCTTTCTAATGTCTGTGAGTCACACACAAAAATGCGTTGTGGATTTACAGCTAATAATCTGATGAGCAACACAATAGCAGCAAAATTCATTGAGCAGCCCAAATCCACCAAACGCCACTCCATCCTTCTTTATTCCAAGTGATACTCATCTCCTTCGCCTTTCAAACAGTAAAAAAAAAACCAAAACCCAACCAACCCGTCCTACAGCCCCGGCAGTACTCCATGACCCCAACGGCTGGGGATGCAGCCCACCGACGTGACCGCGCACCCCAAAATGCAGGAAGGCAGGACCCTCCTGGCAGCCCCCCTCACCTTCAGGACCCCTCGGTCTCGAGCCGGCGTGATGTCCTCCCCGCGCTCGGCGAGAGCCGCCGCCTGCACCTCCCCTTCGCTCTTGGTGGCCTCATCAGTGGTCATGGTCTCCTTGCATAAGCCCTGGACCTGGGGGGACATGGCACGCGCCCCGTCAGGACCACAGGAGGTGGCGTAAGAGGAAAGGGTTAAAGAAAACAAGGAGCTCTCTGCTGCGGGGCCAGGACAGGAAGCTTTGAGCACATCTCAAGTGTGCAGAGCGGAAAATCCCTTCCCAGGGGCCACCCAAGCTCCGCTGAACCACAGGGCGCAGGAAGCCCCGATGTGCAACGCCAGCCGTCCTCGCCGCCCGGGGACAGGGGACAGCCCCGCAGCTCCGTCTGGCCGCAGCGATGGGGATGCTCACAGAGGTCCCCACCCTTCATCTTCAGCCTCCCCAGGTCAGCATCGCACCCCTGGGAGGTGGCGCTGCCCCAGGAGGCTCCCCCAGCAAGAGTTTTACCCAAAAAAGCACCAGCAGGTAACACAGGTGCCAGCCGATGGGCTCCTGACACCCAAAGATGGAAACTCATCCTGGGGTGCTGCACCCAAACCCCTGGTGACGCCCCCCTGCGCGCTCATTTTGAGGCAGGATTAGCACCGAAGCACCTACGTGGGCAGACGCTGAGGGCAGCGATGAAGCCAGGAGAGATGGAAGCGCTCGCGGGCGAGAAGCAACGGGCTGATGGCCACCGAGCTTCTGGCTCATGTGGCGGTGGCCACCCCTTGGGTACGGGTGCTAAGCAGTACAGGCGCCAGGTGAGCGTTTGCCTTTTGAGTTGTTTTATACAGTTCAAGATTATCTTCCACGAGGAACTACGTATTTGTCAGAGACTCTTATTATTCAGAAAGCAGCACCTCAACCCCAGGCAAGCCTCGCTTTCTCTTGCCCACCAAGAACACCCCCAAAAAGAGAGAGCGGGCTCCAAGTCTCAGGCAAGCAAAGCATCACCCTGCACGGAAAGACCTGAACGCACAGCAAGCATCTTCTCCAAAAACTAAAGCAAATCCAACACCAGAAGAATCCCAACTATTTGGGTGGATAAAGAGAAAATTCACAGCAAGACTCAAAGAAATTGGGGGGGGGGTTTAGGCAAAATGCTGGAGCATCACCCTCCCAACATCACTGTGTAAGCAGCTGAGGTGCCAGAAAAGCCACGTTTTTCATCAAATGCAGACTTTTTCCAATGGTGCCTGGTGAAAAAAGAATTGCCTACGGTTTAAAAAACATATTTCCTGATGATTTCCTTCAGACCGTAAGTCTATTTTGGTAGCCACACTGCTGCGCGACACGTAATCAAGGAAACATGTGACGAAGAATTAGAAAGCGATGGGATTTTTAAGACATAAACCAGATCTATTAAAGTCACTCTAATTGCAAAACTTTCCCACAGTCTTTGGTGTGGAAGCTGATGTTAACCAGCAGGAGAAATCATTCATTCGGGGGATTGAAAAAGAGCAAAGAAAGGATGTTTTCAGCTCCAAGGGCAGATAAGTCGTGCTGCAAGAAGAATTGCGCTCCTCACACCCGGGTGGAAAGGGAAGAGCTGGAGCCTGGCCCCCCCGGCACAGGAAGCCACCGAGACACAAAGAGCCCTGCAATGGAAGAAGCAAATAGAAAAATAAGGGAACTACTCGCTGCAATGCTCAATTATCACAGCCTTTGGGGTAATATTTAAAGAGGTTTTGCATCTGCTCACTTTCCCCTGCTCTGCTGAGGTTTCAGAGGGGAACACTTAAAAAAAACACTGAAAAAAAGCAACGTTAGTGGTAAGATTAGTCATCTCATGGGTATTTATACATTGGAAAACATGCCATCGGTCACTTCAGAAGAAATTTTTTACAATGAGGGTGGTGAAACACTGGCACAGGTTGCCCAGAGAGGTGGCAGATGCCCCATCCCTGGAAACATTCAAGGTCAGGCTGGACGGGGCTCTGAACAACCACATTTAGTTGAACATGTCCCTGCTCATTGCAAGGGGGTTGGACCAGATGAGTTTTAAAGGCCTTACCCAACACAAACTATTCCATGATCCAGGTGCTGAGAAGATCTCCAAGCCACCATGGTCCACACTGCCCTGCCACCACCGTGGCCACCCTCCTGGAGATGAGCGAGGAGGTGGTGGTGCCCATCACGGCACAGGCGCGCCGCCAGCACCACGCGCTGGCTCAGGGCTTCACAGCACAGACCCTGCACAGCACCAGGGATGCAGCACCCATAACCCTTTTATCAAGGACCCAGAAGAGCCCCAAAAAAAAGCAGAGCAGCTTGCAAAAGAAGCACCACCTCCCAGGGCAGAACCTCCCGAGGCCCACCAAGCAGCCACGGCTGGGATGCAGAAAATGGACAGGGCAGTGCTGGCTCTGGCTTGCTGGTTGCTAAATCCCACCAAGAGACATCTAAAAATATATCGTACGCATCCTTCTCATTATTTTTCTACGTAAGCAATTAGTGGAGTCATCCAGGGAAGCTGGCCAAGGCGAGCGGGAGGGGAGACGCTCTGCGTCAGCAGCAGTGGGAGGGATGGAGCCCACAAGCCCAGCTATTAAGATGTGGTCCACGTTATGAAAGAGCTCAAGACTTCTCCGTCCAGCGAAAACGGCTCCAACTAGGTTAGAGAAAAGACTGCGCCGCTCCCGCTTATCTCCGGCTTGGAGCGACAGACGGAGGCTGGCTGGGGTCCAAAATCCCAATTAATTTGGAAGTAAAGAAAAGAAAATATCTGCTACTCCCCAAGATTTAAACACCAGGGAGCCAGGGACTGACACCGAGAGGCTTGCTGGAGGCGTCAGAGCACGAATCCTCTCGTTGCAGGACCACGTGTGCTCCGGATACAGGGAGGGGGTTAATTATTTACTCCGTGCAAAAGCCTCTGGGTGTTTCGGACACCCCAAGCAGATCCCGCTCTCCCCTTGCTGTTACCCACAAGCTTAACGCTGTAAGTCTGTAATCGAAGACAGGCTAAACCTTCCTCCCTCCTCTGAACACCCACCCCGCTAGGGGGTTAGACCCCCCTGGGCTGGGGGGTCCTCCTCCACGGAGAGGTGCAGCAATTCAGCAAGGCATAAGGGCATCAGTGAAAGGCCACCAAGAGGGAAAGGATTTCCATGCACAGAGAATGAAAGTGGCGGGAAGGTGACTAAAGAAATCCAGAGCAGGTCCCGGGAAAGGTGCACATGGATGACAGGGCAGTTCTGCCTGTTTTGGGGCGGTTTTGAACAGTTTGCGGCTGTTTTGCACAGCTTGATTCTTCCCATTCGGAAGCAAAGTCCCTTGAAGGAGCCTGTAAACCCCCAAAAATGCTCCTGCTCAAGCCCTGAGCCTAATGCCAGGGTCTGGTCTGCACTTCCAGCCACTGCCCGGCCGCTCGTGGCTGGGCACAGGGCTGTCTTGCAGCTGTAGGGACACAGAGCTGCCACCTCCACCCTCCCCAAGCCCTGCAAAAGGGCTGTTCTTCCTCACTGCTAAAGGAAAAGGGTTTGGGGTTTTCACTTGTTTGCTTTCAATCAGTCCCTGCTCTACCGGATGATCTGAAAATTCAGAGTAGCTGTTCAACCTGTAATTTCAGAGCTGTAATAAACAAGCTTTAAAATCCAGAGGTTTCAACATCTGGGCACAATCTCTCCTTCAAGTGCAACTATTTTAGCATTAATTAACACAAAATACTTTAAACAGCTTCTAGCTGAGCAAACAAGGAGGCTCACGAGGTCAGAAGACTCCTACACGTGCGCGGCGTGTGCTTCCCTCGGACCAGCGCACCCCGACCCACAGTGCCGGCACGTGCCTGTTCCCAGCCCCGCTACACGAATATAAACTCCCCAAAGTGCTCAAAAGCAACGACAGCTCCATCCTTCCCTCTTACAAACCTGCTGTTCCCCCAGACACTGTCCCGCACGCTGGCATAAGCGGTTGCAAGTATCATTTTTTTTCCCCCCTCCACGTGACGAGCAGCATCGCCGCGACCGATGCTCCCCAGCAAGCGATGCCCACGAGCAATCGAGCCACGAGGGATGCCCACGAGCAATCGAGGTGCAGTGATGCCCCCAAGCAATTCAGCCGCCCGCAGCGGGCACAGGCTGCCCAGGCAGAGCACCCTCCTGCACACCCCGACAGCGCTACGGCTTTGACCCCAATTTTAGCACTCTCAGACATTAATTCAGCTGCTGCTTCAGAAAAAGACATTCTGCGCTTTTTTCGTCTGTTTTTTTTAAAAGCAGGCAGGACAAAAGGCGCTTTTTTCCCCTCTTTTTTAAGCCAGGCAGTGGCTGGTGTCTTCCCCACCTTCGTTATCCCCCGAGCGCTGGACGTTTTCCCTGCTGTCTGCCAGGGCACCGCACGGGCACACCTCGAAGCCCTCTCCCCTTTGCACACACCTTTCAAACAACGAGAACTTTGCTCCAGGAGGATGCACGCCGTACAACACCAGCACACGCCGCACAGAAATCCAGGCCATAAAAACAAGTCATTTATTTTTACAATCCCTGCTCTGCACAGATGTTGCTATCTTCCAGCCCGGAGATAGAGGAGAAGATTCAGAGCGGAGAATGGGATGCAGATGTCCGACCCCAGGCTGAGGACAGACAGGTATCACACATGCTAGGGTTTCACCAAGCACACGATCCCGAGCCACGTTTCCTAGAAATCGGCATACCAGGAATTTGCCAGTTCCAAATGGAAACTTCATGTCACAGATCCCTCCCCGAGGCTCACGGGAAGGGAAAGGGAGGGGTGGGGGTGGGGGGAAGAGAAAGGCTGGGGAGGGTTTTGCAGGGTCTCACCTCACCACCATGCGATCGCTGGAGAAGGTTTGAAGGTCCAGGGGGGGTCCTGGGAGGTGCCCACCCAGAGACAGGGTGGGGATTTCACACCAATAGCTGGTAAGAAGAGGAAAACAAAAAATTAAAAATAAAATAATAAAATTTAAAAACCCGCGTGCTTTATCCTAAGTCAGGATTTTAAGAAGGGAGAACTGAGACGATGGTTGCAAACCACAGACCACGCTCCACCACGATCAGAAAGGGGCGATGAGACCACGGACAAAACCTCCCGTGGCAGCTCCTCTGCT